ATCCAGCAAGTGCATCAGATTAGGGTTTGGGGCAGAAAAATGTCAATGTAAAGATATCCTAGGAAGACAAGACGCACCACAACAATAGCGATATTGATATTGATGTAGCTCCGAAAAGTGTCGACCAAATCACAACGATAGAAAACTCAACAATTTACATGAGAAAGACATTGTATTTTATAGGTATAGATAGCGCATACGAATTGTGTGGAAGACACACCTGCGTTGGTATCATTACAATGAGTTGGTCGAGTGTGTTGGGCTGTCTTGCCTCATCTAATAACAACCGACTCCACGCATACGCGACAAAGGCGTTCCACTATCACAGTTAGATCATTTGGAAACCGAAAGCAGAACCAACGGAGTACCCCGAGTGTTATCATCTCCAGAGCTGGGCTTCTCATCTCCACACATGCCATTGCCACACACCCTATCCCATAACTGTACCACACCTCCACATTTTTCCTTCTACCGGAACGACGGAACAGTGCACACCCACGAGGACGAAACAGCCTCGCTTTCCCATATCCACGCCGCCCGCTGTATCCACCTTATCCACACCTCCTTTTGCAACAAAAAAGCAAGGAAAAAGGAAACAGACACTGTGTGAGTTCAAGCCACAGTGACGCGACGATCAAGCCACGATGAACGCCTAAATCTCGCATAGATAAGGATTGATACGAAAAGTAAAAAAGAAGCAACGGAGAAGACAAAGACCCTGATGTAGATTTATTCAAGCCACATGACGAAAACTTTGTAAAGATAGATTTGGCGTGGAAGAAAAAAGAAACGAGAACTTCGGATAAATGAGATCTGAAGCTGGAAGAGATGGATGGATCTCATAAGAAGAACAGGAGATTTGTTCTAGACTGTAGTGGTCGCCGTCTTCCCAAGTCCTGTGACGTATGGTCCATGTACAGACAGCCATGAAGTTTACAAAAGCACATGCAAGCTGAAGAGGTGTTAATGTGAGTGTGGCAAAACATTGGTAGATGAGAGGGGAGACGTGAAAGATTGCTACCCATGTGCACCGAGTCTCTACAAGAAGGTGCATCGGAACGTCTGGCCCATATGGTGACTTGAAGTAAGAGAGTTTTCCTTATGATAATAACCCTCCTCTCCACGTAAGCCCAGACCAACGTCGCCAGATCTGATTACACCCGAGAAATGGGTAACGTTCCATGTACAATACTGTCAGCTTCTCATCCGATAAACTTTGAATCCAACGTTAAGGATACGAAATCTCACCCTTGGAGCTTATCGACAGGAGAAAAAAGGCCCCGATGCCGAGAACTCGAAAGGTAACCTGGGGGACCACGACGTCAGCACTCAAACCTCGAAGAAAACCAAGTACAGCAACTACAACAGAATGCCAACTCCCTCACACAGCAGCGGATCCGCCCCAATGTCGCGTGGGCGGAACCGACTCGCAACTTGAAACTCGCGTCGACATGCCATCACCCTCTCTCCCAGCACCGTCCCAAACAAGCAACGGACATGCACGCATCTGCATGTCATACCCAGGTACAGTAAAGGTCCGCAGCATGACATGTGCCCCACGTCTCCCCCCATGCATCCACGTCTTTGTCTCGCGTCTCCCACGTGCAAGCCCTGCAAAGGTGCGACGACGACAGCTCCGACGATGCATGCCCAACTCCGATGATGCTTGAAGCGTTGCCAAAGCGTTGCATAGCCGACTACCTGAGACGAGACGGAGACGCGAGACGGATATGTCAACGCTTCCCGATCGTCATGCCGGTGATATGCCGATCGAGGACCGGCCGAGGTAATCCATACCATCATACCCATCCATGTCATGTCGCGCCGCAGAAAGCTTGCTGCCGGTCATACTCTGTATGTAAGCTGACCCGTCCCGTCGACGAACTCTTCGTATCAAGGAACGACGTTGCATAGCGCGAACAAGTTTGTACTGTACCTGTGTGCGCTGAAGGCAAGGAAGATGAGTTGGGTGGTATAGCGCGGCGTCGCAGCCCTGCGCATAAACACCGAACATGCTTCCAGAAACACGTTCGCACATCAAACAAACCAGTCCCAGTCCGTCTTGAAGCAAAATTTCCGCCCAACCAGGGTCCAGCGACACGAAACGGGCAGTTCCTTGGTTGAGGGATGAAGCTTGCGTATGTGCAATCGATAAAGAGATAAAGATGGACAAACTTTGGATCTTCGAACTTTACAGGTGGGATAATTGAAACAACGGACCTTCATCGTCGCGAACAAGTAACACTCTCAATCCCATTGCGATCAGCACCGTAACCTTGGAACCCGCGTTTCATCACCCAACGGCCATCCATAAATGACCTAGCGGACCATGACCTAAGGACTTTCCCGATTGAGAAAGCTAGCATGGCACTAGGAGCTTCGCGTGGAAGCTATGCCGCGTCGATAAGTCAGTTGCCGCTTTAATGAAAGTTAGCTGTGCTAGCGTTACGTGTTTCCCGTGTCCGCGAAATGAGGATTCGTTGTGGTCTGTTTGTATAAGTAGGGCTGAAGAAGGGTTCTGCAAGGCCGGTAGAAGGATGGGCGTCAGTGCGCGTAGTTGTGCAAGGACATGGATTGCGGCGTCATAGCAAGAAAATTGCGAGTGCAAGAGGATTGTAGGACGGTTGCGCGTTCAATATTATCCCGCATTCCGCCATGGGATTATGCCTGTGTAAATTTTGGGACTTGGGATCGTAATGTGGGCAAGGGAGGGGGGAACGGAAAGAGAATGCGCAATGTGATGATTTGTTCGGGTTCTGCTTTTGCCGTTGGGCCTTGGGCTCTACTACTGCGCCTCAGTATGGACTGAACGCTATCGAAGGCAATGGAAGCTAGCGTTCAGCCAGCCCAGTCCTAAGTTATGATTCCAAAAAAAAAACGCCCTTGGTGAGGATTATTGCGGAATACGATGACTGTTTAACCATTCAAACCGTACGGCGATCGCTCATGACCCTAGAGATGGAGCCTGGGCCCGCTATTTCCACAAGCTGTTGGTGTGTTAGTGACGGGAACAGAAGGATAGGTAGTAGGTGCTTTATGCGGCAGAGGGTGGGATGCCACTCGGTTCATGGGCCGTTCCAGATAACGAGGGGTGAGGAGAGAGCGTGGGGTCGTACCTTCTCGTGCCAGCTGAGGAGCACGCTCATTGCTTGGCCGCCACCTTCGCCGCCGCCACGGGTATGAACTTGGGAGAAACCGGTTGGTTGGGGGGTGATGTCGCGTTTGGTGGTTGCAGGTGTAGCGTGGGCCATGCCTTTGTAGCTGTAAATACCTTTGTTAGTCGGAGGTGGTGAATGTGCGACTGTGGACATGTTTGGCGGTGAGCCCAACGGGAGTGGCAGAAGGCCCAAAGGAGAGGCTGCTGGACGTACATGTACTTCATCAGGACGTCCAATGCCTCGGTTCCGCCTGGTGCACCATATATCCGGCTCAGCATTGGTGACATGTCCGACGCGCGTATCGATTGTAGGATCTCGATGACGGTCGCAAGGTGGGCTTCCTGGAGTAGCGGAGCTTGTCAGCTTGGTTCTGCACTGTGTAATGTTGCCGACCTGGTCGACGGTAGCCCAGGTCCAGAGAGGTGGAAGCATGTCTCTTGAGCTATTCCAGAGCTCTGCTGAGGCGCAACGTACCTTTCCCTTGTCGTCTGCGCCATAAGGTGGGTTCTCCAGCGCTCCTAGGAGGGCTCCCTCATTGTCACCACCACGGAGCAGTTGCCGTAATTGCTGGGCATTGTTTTGGACATCGGCCGTCGACACAGGCTGCACGGCGGGCGCGAGGGAGCTAAGGTCGAAGTTGGCGGGGCTGTCGGGATCCAAGGCGTCAATGTTGATTGTCCGCCAGTTGATGTTGGCCATGGTGGTGGTGGTTGAATTTGGCTACGCGGGATGTATTGGCTGCAGAGAGGTACCAGACGTGGTGGTGGTGGAGCTATGGTGAGGTGCAATTCGGCGCGCCTGTATTCGTGGGGTGCAGTGCCAGGTCAGGTCTCCACTCTACCGCCAAGCTTCGCAGCTACCCATCGAAGCGCCCGCAGCACGTCTGGCAAAACATCCACCATGTAGCACAAGCAAGGGTCGCCGCTCGATACGGCTTGGAGGCGGATCGCTGCCATTGCGGATGCATATCGATATGCCCGTGTCGGAGATCCGCGGCGCCACGTGTGACATGGACGTACCACTGGGGTGGATGAGACGCTTCACAATGCAGAGACCATGTCGTCACGATAGGCAAGATTGTTAAGAGTAGATGTTTGATTAGTCTAAACTGTAGCCAGTTGAGTCGCGAGACACAAGTACAAAGGCCCAGGCGCTCAGTCTAATGTCCAAAGCTATGGGGAGAGCGACCCATGCATACCGTTCATGAGGAGCCGTCTAAAGAAAACAAAATCGTTGAGTCGTGGTCGTCAATTCGACCACTCCAACACGCTATAGTACAATACAACTCGTGCCGTTGATGCCGGTGAGGGCCGGCACGAGAATCTAACCTGTTACACTGTCCGAATGAAAGAAAGTGAAGGTCCTTTTTGGTATCTATGCCTGGGCCTAACCGAGTCTATAGTGAACGCCGAATGAAGAAGAACTTTTTGCCGTAAGGGAATGTCGCTGAACGTGTGACGCAAGTAGGTGAGCAGGGCTGTGCGAAATTCGCTTGATAACGCCGGTGGATGCCCGAAGTCGCAGGGGTATTAGGACGCTGAAGAATCGAAATGGTCGCGGATGATTAAAAGGCGGTAATCCCAAGATGGCTCCGTGGAAGAAGATGCGCCGTAAACCGAGTAAGTTGCGCCTGTAGCGGTTGCGATGAAACATTCATGTGGAGTTGGTCTGATGCGTTGTTAGTGGACGTGTACATGCAGGGTGAGTTGGCTGTGACTTACAAGGTGCGGGATGCAATCCCTCTAGTCCCAACCGAACAACCAGCTTGCCACGAAAAAGCAGGTGCATTGCGATGAAAAAAAGGCAATGGCGAGGCAAGCGCTGGAAAAGTTGGCGCGCAACTTATTTGGGCGGTGGTGGAGGAGGCTTGGGTGTGCCAGTGGTGTCGTAGGCACCGCGTCCCATGTTGTTGGATTCTGACTCTCTGAAGATCATGTTGTTGATGAGTGTGTGGTCTGGTTATAAGTCAGAATAATGTCGCACAAACAAGTCAAATATAGACTGCGCTGAATGTGCAACGTACCGATTGAGCTCTGAAGCATGTAAGACGCCGGCTGAACACCTGGCCTGTGCGAGTTGGATAGAAGACGAGAATGAGTGTCAAAGGTCGGCGAGTGTTTATTGCAAGGCGATACAAAGAGCGGCGAGGCGGTATCGAGCTTTATTAGATAGTGTCGTGTACCCGTGAACTGGCTAGCAGTGACTGGGGAGTGGGGATGAGAGTAGAATGAGTGTGGATAGTTTGAAGTGAGAGATGATGATGGCAGGAATTAAACGAAGGGCGCCCTGAAGCTTCTATATTCGCAGCTAGAATAAGGGGGCCTGTTAACTGACTTGCCAAAGGTGGCCTTGGCCTTTCGGCGAGACAAATGAAATGAGCGACAGTGCTTTTCTACCAAAAGCCCTGACTACATTGCGCATCGGGAGCGACGGGTCTTTCGGCCTGTTTCAAGGTAGGCTCCCTTGCCATCGTCAGGAGCCAGGGTGATCTGCGCACTGTTACCACCAAGCCGGTTATCCCCCTTGGATAGTGCCGCGCTAGAAAGCCGTACCTGCAGGCCCTTAGCTTCTTGCGCTAGAGGTAGCCACATCAACGGCTTCGCTGGGATGCAGATGCAAAGGGTGAGACGCTGTCAAAGTGCCTCCGTCAGATGGGCGATATTGGCGACTCTTTTTGTCCCCCGTACCATGGCAAGGTCAAGACGCTTCATCCATCTCACCCGTCCTCTCTTGCTATCCTATCGCTGCTATTGTCACTGTCACCGCGCGCTTCCAGACAAGGCGGCTTAGATGAGACAGTGTCAGCGCTCCCGTCTCGCTGCTTTGACCGGCGGCGTCGACTCGTGCGTGCCGCGTCGCGTTTGTTGGCCTACGCCAGAAGCAAGAAGAGAAGGTTCAGAGACGCCACACAGACGTTCCGGATGTGCTTCCCCGGCCGGTCCACTGCCTATGCTGAATCACCTCTCTTGCAGCCCTGTCGTCCTCGTTCTCTCCCAGCCAACCGGGTAACTGGTCGTCGGGATCGCAGTGGAGTTTTTCTGTAGAGGTGGCGGCTCATGTTTGACAGCACCTGTTCATAGCAGCTTGCTTTTGCAGTATCATGAACCGCCCTGTGTTGTTGTCGCATTTGCTTAATCGTCGTTGCTTGTGACGGGTATCTGGGTATCGGTTTTGGCTCGCGCCACGTGGGCACGACTGCCCACTGACGGGTCGCTCCTCCCTCAACCAACCCTCGCATCCGCAGCAAGCAAGAAGGAGCCACCCTCGCCGCACTACACCCTCATCACATCTGCGGCATGCAAACAACTTCTCATGTCCATCCCGCCACCTGAATAACGCGCACCATGCTGCCAAAGCAAAATCGCCAGTTGCCGTAATGAGAGCGTTGTCCGGCTTGCGGTGAGTGGGCCCCGCGGCGGCTTGAAAAATCTCGCCTGCTGTTTGTTCTGGAAAGCCTCTGGAAGGCCGTCTTGCATACACTGAGTCGCAGTCATTCCAGGCTGTCCCTGATCATCGCAGACACGCTCACCGACGCTGACACAATATGCGCACTCCTCACGACTAAGAAATTTGGCCGGCGGTCGTTCTTCAGACACGTCGCATTCGCGGATCGCTGCAAGCCTTCCGCGCCTCCAAGCACACGGATGCTGCTGCATGCGTTCGACGTCCCGGGATCATGACCCAGCAAGGTTTCACGCACAATCGCTTCCTTCTGGAAAAAAAACTGACCTGTCTCTGCCTCAAGCCTCGTTGACGCAGTCTCGTGCTCAACTTCGGAGGCCAGCCGTCTCAATGACGAATTGTTTCTGACACGGAACCAGCTATGACATCGCCTTTTTGCTCGATCTGGGTTGCTCCGTATTACAGCCCGTCGCTCCATCGTAAACACATTTGCCAGAATGCAGCCGTTATGCCAGTCCAATAATATAATTCGCAAGCAGCACCGACCCTGATTCGCCCTTGCTGGACATGGACAGGGGTAGGGGTGCTTCACAATCAGGCTGAGACGAGCTACAAGGGCATCCCGTCCTTATCCACTAGCCTCACACAGAGACATGCCGAATGCCACGCGACACCGCCTGCTGGACCAGCGTGGTATATGCGCATGCTAGGTGTACACCGGTGTAGACATGATCGCTCTCTTCCGCTGGTGCAACGGGACATCGTTTTCTTTGGGCTGCTACAGACGCCGTCGACAAGTCCATCAGTGCAGGAGCGTTGAGGACTCAAACAGCGTTCGCGATCTTCAGTCCATGCTCCTCCAACTTTATCGCTAGCCATTATCAATCACACACTCAACCATCGAGATTGCCATTGAAGCGTCGTCACATCTTACAGGGTCTGAACTCCTTCAGGTTATTTTCCTCATGACGTTGGTATCAGCCACCGACTTTTTACTAGCAGCATCGCTGTCAATCACGACCGCCTTGCAATTTGACAGCTGTTTGACGGATTTCTCCACAGAAAACTTTGTCGAAATTGTGATCGTGAGCTAGAGCTTGCGGGGAGCTGGGAAAGTGGGTCCAGGAACGGCTTTTGGCACTTCCTCTTTGAGCGCGCTACTGTAATCTGCGTGCCAGTGTCCCAGCGATGAGAAGCGAAGCAAGGGTTATCACCTCGAAAAGGATCATCGCGTGCAAAGACAACCCTGCCCACACGTGGAATTTCTGCTGTGCTGTGGAGCTACGCCTGACTACTGGAAGAGCGCCCGCAAGCCGCTCGCCGATGTACCAGCGGATTGAAGCCGACCATCAGGCCAACTGTGCGCTGCACGAACTTTGCGCTGCTGCAAAGGAGAGTTCCATGAGCACCGTCGCACTAGCTGTCGTGTTGACAGGTACTGGCTGGGGCACCCGGATCCATTAGCCGGTGGAGTCTTCTACAAAGGGGAATCCAGCTTGCGAGCATCGCATTTCATAGCGTTTCACGGAAGCTTTATTCGGTCCTTACAGTGTAACGTTGGAACTACGTTTGAATCCCCAAGCAGGCAACACGTTGCTCTGCGTTATTGCGAGGTCACTCTCACGCAAACCTGCTTCATCTCGGACCTGGCCTCAAGCTCCCCGGACGCCAACTGGAAAACGATCAGCAAGGATGACTTCACACCCGCGCAGCCCATCACGCAGTCCCTGATGATCTCCTTCGCGCTGGCGCCCAAATCGCTACGATTTGGGCTACACAGTCCGAGGCCGCCATCTCTCCCCGATCGTGTTCCTTGAGCAATCCGCGTGCCAGCCCCACGACTTTTGTCGCGACTCAATGAGTCGTCGCACCAAAGAAATTTCCGCCGTCGATCCGGAATTATGTACCCTTTCGCATCTCGTTCCGCTCCTCCGGTGCTGTTGTGCGTACTTCTTGAAGCTCGCTACGACAGGCCTTGTGCGTCATCTTGCTGTCCTTGAATATGTGGGCATCCGAGGCTGACTGCAGGCTCGCCGAACACCAGTTCTTTTGCTCTGCGCCCACGTTTCCGCGTGTGCAGTCAGCACTAAATAGGTAGGCTCAAGGCATGCTGTACAAAGGAGAAACCTTCTGCAAGTTTGTGTCGACTGCTGTTTGGAAAAACAGAGTTCTGCTAAAAGAGTACTGTGACATCAGCTCTTCTCAGACAAACGATTCCGCTCCACCTGCACGATGCAAGCATACACTTCCGGAAGACTACTGCCACTATCGATACGCTTTCTTATTCCTCCGACACCCAAAAATAATGCGCCGTCGACAGCCTCCAACGCCAGGATAATGCGCCGCCTGCAGCCTTCAAGTAACGCCAAACTGTAGTTTCGGGTTTCACTCCCTTTGGCCCTCGGATAAGTGGCGCTCCAATCGTTTCGCGGCTGCATGCGATACTGCAGCTCGTAGCTTAATTCTCAGTCACGGCGTCGGCAACTTTCCTTGTTGCCCCGCCTTGTCAGCCATGAGAGTACTGGTTGCAGCTTGTAGATTTACGGCAGAGCTACTGCATTCGTACGCCTCCCATGTGTGCAGTAGCGTACCAAGACGTCGGTTCTCGACTCGAACATGGGGATAAACCAAATATGGCCTTTTCCTTGCGTTACCAATACTTAGTATTCCTCACACCACCACCCAGCCAGGCCAGATTACTGGTCAGATTGTAGTCTTATGATGACATGGAGTGGTCACTATGACTGCACGTAGCTTTTCGGGCATGTTGCGATGACACCAGCACACTCACGCCAGCTGTTGCGCTGATAAGAAACATTCCTTGGAGTTCCGACTGGCCACCCATACAAAGTATACGACTAAGCAGACGGGCCGTCTCTCGTACGTAACATCCGTTTCTCGGACTAGCAGTGCAGTCAGCACACAAACCCCGGTACATACAAGATGGTCGAATGTGTTTTCCTGCAACGGGCTGCTACACAATCGCGCCGAGTAATGTACCTCTCGTTTTTCGGATAACAGCGAGACGTCGCGTTTGTGCGACCGGCGTCCCGATAACCGGGATCGCAAATAGATATTGCCGGCAAAGTGACCCGATCTGACCACTATCGTCTGTGTACTTGAGGCAACGAGTGTCACTTAGCCTCGTGTTGTTTGTAAGTGTGAAAGCATTATCCGCGATTTTGTGCGTCATGGGGTATGCAATGATCGTTCACTTCGAGGACGCAAAGGGAAGTTTATTGTGAGTCGCGCAGCTGATGAGAAGACCTCAATAGACGTTTTATCGAAGTCTTTGATGGCGTGTTTGGTTGTTCACTCGTTTGACGCATCGCGATTTTCAAGAGTTTTCGTACGTCTGTATTTTTCTGTTTGTCCTCTTGACCTGCTCAGGTCAGCTCTCTTATCTTTCATATACTATGCGTTCATTCATATGTCTCGATGCAATGAGTATAGCGCGGGACGGTTCGAGTCGATAGGAAAGTATAATTGAAGTGATGAGGAGAGCAAGAGGGACGGAGAAAGAGGTTAATTCGTTCTTGCTCCTTCAATGAAAGCCTCTCAACGTTTGGTATGAAGCATTGTTGGGAGGGGTTTTCTTTCGATTGTTGAGCCACTTCCATTGGCTCAAGTTTCGCTTTCCTTCTCCTCCAACACAAAGCTGAATTCGGCAACAAGCACATCTCCAAGGTTACCATTTGCCACGATTACAAAGAGAATCGTATGCTTCGGACAGGCATAAATCAGTCTTAGGTATCGAAAATGTTGCGGATCGCGACTTGCTGCCTGAGGACTGCGAGATGGTGGACGCCGACAATGATGTGGAGATAGGCAGGGGGATGAGTAAGGTAGGGCGAGTTAAGAGGAGCCATAGCATGGTGAATTATAGAGTGGATATAAGTTAGAATGTAAGGAGGTTGCAGATGGTGAGTGTTGATAGAAGGGGTCCGACGATGGTGGTAAGCCGTGGGCTTGAGCGAGTTAGAATACGTTGGTACAATGTTTCCGTCTCGCGGCTCATCCACATTATTGCTTGATATCATGAAGCGCGAATTCTCGAGGCATGGTAAATTATCGCAATAACTAGCGATTCACAAATGGTGGTAAGCGTATCTTTTGTACCATTCTTCGCTAGAATCTGACAAGGTGTTGTAGCCAAGGGGCATAGGCCGAATCTATTCACTTACACCGTCACTGAACTGAATCACTTTCTCTACAATTTAGGTGCCTATACGTTCGCCGCTTCCTTCGTCCGTTTGTCATCTATCCCTGACCCACTTATTCAGGTATTTCGCAACGATGACGAGGTAATTAATCCACTCACTCCTGACTTCTCTCCCTTGGTACATTTCACTCTCCAACCAAAATCTGGATAAACTTGCACCCAATCAACTCAGATTTCCAAGTCCACTTAGCCATGACTATCATTACTCTTTCCATAGCCCTGGCGGTCTGCGTAACAATGGTTTACGCCAAACCCGTCGAAAAACCCTTTGTTACCTCATCCTCTTTCCCCTCCCCGTCAGGTCTCCTGTATCGCCAAGATAGTGCGTTAAATCTCCCCAATCTCTCTTCAATCAGTGACAAGCAGTCAGTCCAGATTGCAGGAATAGACTGGGACACAAGTAATATCGCCGACGACAATTCATGGCAGAGATTCAAGGGTAAAGGAAACATGTTCTACTGCCTCATGGACATGTCTGATTCTGCGGCTGGAGTTCAATGGCCAGACCCATTTAAGAGACTGCCTCCCTCAGCAAGCAGTCCCTGGAAAGGAACTCTTGAAGGCAAGTTCCTAACTCTCACAATGCTTGACTTTTCTAACTCATACGCCTCCAGTATAACCATGTGCTAACACTCATTTCTCGACAGATGAACTGGCAACCTGGGGTTGGTTCGAAGGGGAATACGACCAGGATGTAAGCGCCAACTTCGGCGACAACGTTCCCGATGTTAAGAACATGATCGAAGTCGCACTCACAGCTTTGGGTCTGAGTACCACTCCCATGAAAGACGGCGGTAAAAACATCGGCATCTCCATCGAGCATTACGACGACCAACTGAAGTACGATGATGGGGAAGATGTTCCCATCGATGAGCAAAATTACGAAGTCGACGGGAAAACATACCCGGTGAGTAAAAGGGGGAAGCGAACATACTAGAGCAACGGATTCATTGCTGACGCTTTTTGACTCCAGAATACTGGTGCTTGGTTCCGATTTACTCTAAATCCGGAACAAGGCGGTGAGTCTCCTATTCTCCTCCTACAAGATACACTTTACCTGCATTGGTGTCGAAACACCGTTGTTGTCTGGTAGAAAAGATGCTAATTTACCTCTTTCCAGTGATATTCGGCCAAGATTTTCTTGGTCCCAAAGCCGCAGCAGAACAGAATCTAGACTGGGACGTCAAGAAAGAAGAGCTCCCCAAGCTAAGTATAGCGTCCGACATCCTAGCTGCATATTGGTTACGCAGTCCAACTCCTAAGAACCTCAAATATTGGTTCGGCCAAGATGTCACGAATGAGGACACAGTGCCAATCATTATCAAGATCCTTTTAAATCATGGATTTACTGAAGGCGTTCCAACTTGGCCGGGATTACAATTGAATATGCCGAGTGAAGAGGCGTTAGTACTTCTGGGCTCGCCCATCGGTTCAACCATAGCCTTCTTCCTTATTCAGCACAAGGAAGAACTTGGATTGAAACACGTCTCTTCCATAACCATTTTTCGTGATCGCAAGACCGAACCTGATCATCATGCGGAAGTGCAACTTCTGTTTCGCATCGACGACGTACCTCAAGATGATATATTGCCCGAAGATACGGAAATGCTGGATGAGGGTACAAAAGGAAAACATACGCGACGCGGTACCAGGAGGAAAGATAGCATGGTAGATCTGGATTTGGGACGAAACATTAGCAGGGTGCATGAGATGAGCTTGGGCGAGCGCGGCGAGATGGTGCTGTACAGTCACGAGTTCAAGCGGGAATTATGATCAGCTCGGCTTGGGGACTTCTTGTCGTTTGTTCTGATCAGAATCCAAGTGGATAGCTGGAAGTTGTTGCATGTGCAAGAAGATGACCGGAAATCAATGTCAGACTACTACGAATACTAATGCAGTGATTGAATCAGATATTATGGTTCATTTTCATGTAACTAAACAAGCTACTGGGGTATCAATACTCAAGATCCCACTTATCCGTAAGAACGCCGCATCAGATGTGGGGGTATACTCCATAAACCACATCTATCCCAACAAACTCGTCGTGTATCGCACAAAGAATCCATTGACTTGAATCGACGTCCATCCTTGTATGATCTATCCAGGTGGTGACGTCCGAAACCCGAAAGGACTTCCCATCCGGAAAGCTGGATGGGTATCGCTTTCATCGGCCGGCACCGTTTCAATATTGCTTTCACCCAGAGTCTCCACTCCTTCCTGGAAACTCTGCATCTCGAAATTCTCGCCCTGCAGCTCAGTTTCTCTAACAACAGAAGCAAGACGTGGTTTGCCCCCTAAGAACCTATTCTATACGGTACTAACGGCGGGCTTGGTATGTGTCGGCGCGGGTTGTGTGACTGGCGCTGTGCCGTCGAGATTTGCAGACGCGACACTAGCGCCGTCTGTAGCCGCCTTCTCGTTGCGGGCGTGTGTTGACATCGGGCCATGAGCGTCGATGTGGGCTAATGAGTGCCACAGAAGATATGTACTAGGATCGTAGGTCAGCAAGAGCGATAAGATTGAATAGGAGATGTCGTACCTGACGAATGTGAAGATCATGCCAGGCCACAAGAATACGACACTAGCAATCGCGCGCCCGTTCTTGTTGTATGCAAGCGGGGTTTCTCCGGCCTTTTTGAACTGCGACAACAATGAACCACCAGTCGCAGGATCCGTACCAGTTATGTACGCACTCCTGCTGGCTACGATATATGTATACGCCAGGGCGTCGGCGAGCGCGGCCATGCAAGCAAAGACAGAGCAAACTTTCCAGGCGGTCTTGACGCCCTTCGACTCCTGTCGCTCGGGCCAGAAAAGATCGAAGAAGAAGGCAGCACCGAAGATGGTGGCAACGAAGATGCCAACGAAGATGTTGTACGAAGCGATACCGACAAAGTCATTGTTGTGAACCGTGACGTTACCGTCAAGTTTTGAGACGAACTTCTGCTGGTCGACATAATCTGGCTTGATGTTAGCTACTATCCCTGACGTGGAATGGTGGCACATATGGTTTGCAGCCACCAAGACTAGGAGTATGCAAAAGGATATATCATACCAGATAGCGCTGCCGTTCCTAAACTCTCACTGACAACGCAGAGAATCATCGCGAGTTGGTAGATGATGAACTTTGTGCGGCGGTTGTGGTACATTGTATTCCCAAACATGTACCCGGATTTGAACTTGCCCCATTGCATCTCCTTCAAGTCGAGACCCCATATTACCGCCATCTTGACTGGATATGAATGCTAGTGATGAGATGTGAGGTGGAGTTGTTCAACGAAGTGCGCGTGGTGGGACAGATAGAATGAAGAACAACAAGGGCGGGCGCGGAAGGTTGGGATAGTAGACGCGTTAAGAAACGGTCAACAAAAAGGGCCGTTGGGTTCTTCTCCGAAGGAAACTAGTCACCGCGCGGAAATATCGAGCCTCCAGGTTGAGTTTCACGGCAGTTGCATACTTAAAGGTCCGCTTGCCAACCACCCTACGTCAACTGATATGGCACGCATCCCATCCTCCCATCACAGATCAAATTAAATCTTAACCCCGTCTCCAACCTTGTCCGGCCCACAAGGGAAACACGCACCCGCCAACTGTCGAGGCCCTAGTGTCAATCATACGCTATCATTGCTTCGCTGAAGCTTATCACTTCCACGCAGCCGTAGCCTAGCAAATGACCAAACGTCTTCGCACAAATGCAGTATTAATCAGCGTACCGGCTGGGTCCGGCGAAAAGACGAGGATGGGAAAGTTGAGAGGTGATTGGAAATGAACTGCAAGAAAGGTGGCTGTGATGTCATGGAACGGGCTGCCGCGGGGCCTTGCTTAGCGAGAATGCTTAGTGCACGGGTGGGGCGTTGGCGTCATTGCTTGCTTTTTGCGTGCAATGGCTCTGGTCACACACGAATCCTAAATGCGTGAGGTCGGTAAATGTCTTTGCAACGTGGAGGTCGTGTACGTCACAAAAAAAGGATACTGCCCTAGCAGACTTGGTTCTAGGTGGGTTTTATTCCCTCCACACGGAGATGTGATATCTATCGCACATACTAAGACTAGCAACATTGCGCTGTCCAACGCCCTCCTAGAATTTTAACGCCTACATGCAAGGGACTCTCATTTACGATCTCGATTCCTTCTGCACAAACCTTCAGTAGGCATCCACCCCTATCGCACCCGACTGCCACGTGCTCCTCATGGAAAAGTGTCTATCTCCCATGGTGATTCTACGAGTGCGGATGATGTTTTTGAGCTCGGCTTGCCCTCGAGGTAGCACAACGTCGCCGATATGACTGGCTTGTACTGAGGTATCCATCTCTTGTACGTCCTCGATTTGGTACAAAATGTACACATATGGATCGTTATCATCTGGGTCGTCGTTGTTATCGCGAAAGATCGTCACCACTGTTATGTGTTCTATGCCGAGTTCAGCCTTGTGTTGCGCAAGCAAGAAAGCAAGCGTTCCGCCGAGAGGATTCCCTGCAGTCGATCAACACTGTGATGCTCGAAAATTCATCTGGATCCGCCTTGACGTACAGATCACTGTCTGTACACTACATTGCTAAGCTTTTGAGTAATTTTTGTTAGCTTGCCTAGTAGTGCTAATTCGTTGCTGTCGTCGCCGCCGAAGTTACAGTTCTCGATTCGATCCCAGTCGCTAGGATACCAACTCCATAGCTTGAGATCTGTTCTTAGCGTGTAATCAAGCTATAGAGCCTGTGCAGAAGGTGGGTTTCGAGCATCTTGCCACAACCTGTTTGCGCCTTCGTCGGTAGCATCAAGACGACACATGAGTCCTCCATTTAGCGATGGCGTTCGCCCAGTCCATATCACATCTATGAGCTAAGAGGTGTTATACTGGGCGGGTATGAGTAACGATAGTATAAGTAATAATTGTATAAGTGATGATAGTATGAGTAATAATAGTATGAGTAATAATAGTATAAGTGATGATAGTATAAGTGATGATAGTATAAGTGATGATAGTATAATTGATGATAGTATAAGTGATGATAGTATGAGTAATAATAGTACAAGTGACTACACAGGTATAATACTTATGATGCGTGGTTGCATACAACAGCGGGGTTGAGAGTATAGGTAATCTGCAAACGTGGTGGTATACGAGAGTAGTAGAGTTCAAGTAAGGAAAAGTAAGTCGAAGTTGATTATAGGTAGAGAGTGCGGTTTGGGAATCTAGTCCCCAGGCGCAAGTGCAAGACAGAAATCTGATGGTCAAGCGAAGCAGAGACATTTATTTTATAGTAACACTCTTTCGCACCTCGGATTTAAGTAGGATATCACGCATACGACAGCTTGCAGTCAGGATTCGAGCCGCACAATCTAGGATTTGCACCAAATTACCCGAGACATTATTCTCGTTACTCGTCATGCCAAGCGTCGAGAAGCGATATCGAGATCTATATGAGCATCTAGTAGTGGCAATAGTATTTTGGAGTGACATACTGCTAAACCGCTGGACAGGGTTTCCAGCCCCTAGCTCGGTGGCATCACAATTACTAACATCTGCGTAGAGCGTAGAACAGTCGGGCTTTCTAATCTCAGAACGTTTGTAGTACGAATAACACCGCGCAGTGTAGCCTTATCAACATCTGCACAGTTGAACAGACGTAGTTTATGTTGATATTGTAGGACATAAGACTAGACACGAGAGAGAAGAGTGCCAGCTGACATGACTACGCAAGTGGGAAACGAAGCTTAACGATGATGTAGACATATAACATGAAGACGGAGTAAGTACACGTGAATCGAAGGAACATTAGGTAGATGGAGAGCAGATAGCACATTGGTTGCGTCTTGGAGCTGGGCGACTCGAGGCTAGACTTCTTGAACCAGGGTGGTAGAAATGACCGGCGCTATCCTGAACATGGCACTGTATCAGCGCACCACTGGTAACCAGAAGCGAGTTATAGGAGACGGGAGAGATAATACGACAAGAACGCATACACCCACCGGCCGTCAACTCTATTCTTACGGCTGTCAGCAAGTTGACCCAACGAGCTTTCGTCGAGTCTTTCCAGGATGTTCAAACTCGACATCGTAGAGGCCTGCTAGCCAAAGCTACGTGCCCCATGCGTCTTGTAAAACTTTCAGGGCCTGGCAGTTGACACAGACCCTAAAAATGGCGTGTATGGCAAAAGGAGTGGCTGTGGGTCACGGCGCTAAAGTGACAGCCTCATGTTTTGGTCGGCGGTCGATTGGTGGGGGGCGGTAGTTGAGCCTTTGACCCTGACAGCGGATCAAAGAGCCGGAACTTTATCATGTCCAAGTACGATTCGTGGTCTCCACATGCGATTCGAGTGCGTGTAGACGTGCACGCGTGTGTCATGTAGGAGAAATGGAGGTCAGGGCTGAAGCTGGAGGGAGATGTTGGCGCCAGCAGCTAGCGCGATCTGCCCAGTCGGCCCGGAATAGGAGGATGCCTGCTGTCGCCATCCCAACCTCCGTCACAACCCCGTTTCGCAACCTCCATCACAAAAGCAACTTGCTGAGGTTCCACTTTGCGAAGCGACAGTGAACTCGTGTCTACAATGACTGACGTTCAGCTTCCACGTCCACCCCATACTCCTTTAATTTCTCCTCAAGAATCCCTCGCACCTTTGCTGCCGTCACTGTACTGTTTAGCAGATCATCCATGCTTTGAGCCTCGTCGTCGGTCAGGGCCACACGGACTTCTCTTGACCGCTCGAACTCCTCCTCGATACTCTGGACCAAGGCACCAACATGTTCTTCCAAGAGATCCTTGACACTTCGCTTTTCCGAAACAATGGCTTCTTCCAAACGCGTATAGACAGCGTTGAAAGGATCGGGGTTCGTGTCGCAAAGTAATTGCTCAAACGTTTCCATTTGTGCGAGCTTCACTATCTGTCCTGGTGTTGGTCTGGTCCGGTAACTCTTATCGTAGACTTTGCTCATCTTATCCCGAAAATATGACCTTTCGAATATGTCCGTACAGCAGCGGTCATTCTGTTCTTGCATAGAAGCTGTAATGCCATTGGTATAAGCATTCTCCATATTCCGAAGTATGATAGGCTTATGGGTGATTCGTGGGATGAATGTGTCTAGCTCGACAGTGATCGGTTCCGGGCTTTGAGCACGAAGGTTGAGATCCAGAAGCTTCATCGCTGATGAAATTTCTCGTTCCACCTGGTCGAAACCGTTTTGCAAGTTGTTAAGCGTGGCGTCGAAGATCGGATCAAGACCCTTCTTTATCGGCGCGAGCAACTGCATATTCCAATGACGGACGTTGGATCTAGGCAACTTGTATTTTCCTTATTTCGCATGTAAGTTCTGTGCCTATTGTATTGAAACCTGCTGAGCGATTCGCGACACAACTTTCTCGCCACATCAATGCATGCAGGCAAGACTGTCTCTAATGTCCCTAGTAGCTGTCCCGCGATACGATCCTCGAATATTTTGTCGATGCAACGATCAATGTTGGCAAGACAAGAATCGCGTAATATACCAATCCCACCCTCAATTGTTGTTTCGACTGCAGTGGTACGCGCATGATACCTCGTTTCTATGTTGTGTATGAGATCTCGTAACGTGAACGCTACGTATCGAACAAGTTCCTTAGTCCGAATCGGCGCACAGAGCGAAACAATATATTTTTCCAGTGCAGGTATTTGTGACCGTTCGGAGTGAGCGGGAACGAGGCGAAGCTATCAAATACGTATCCACTGACGTTGCGCTGATAATCGTGTGTGGTGATGCAGAACACATCTTTGGGTGAGATCGTCCGTGACAAGATCTTATTCGAGTTTTGTTGGTTACGTTGGTCAACAAAGATTGTGCCTTGAGAGTTTGAATGAGACGTTTCTTCAGCTGTATTAACGGTCTGTGCCCAGAGGTCGCTGCATAGCACAGGAGTTCGCTTTTACACTGTTCAAGCTGCGCATCAAGCCGCCGGACTCGTTCAGTTTGCTCAAGCTCGTTCTTGTCGATGCTAGAAGGATCTCCGACCTCCGAACACGTAGCCACTACAGCCACAGGACAGCCACGCCTTGTCCTGATCATCTTTTGAAGGCAACGAGTAGACAAGATGCAGTCAATGTTATGAGCGATGATCACGGTTGTGCATCGCGGTAGATGACTCAGTACACTGCTCTCAGCAAGGAGGTTGATATCGTCCAGACCTGGAGTATCGGCTAGGATGACATTCCTCTCGAGAACAGCAAACAGACCGCCGATCGATACAGGTTCAACAAAGAGCCAGGCGTCGTAAGCGTTTGTAGTACGGCCAGCTGGATGACCGTTGGTGAAGCGCATAATGTGCGACCAAAGTTCATCTGCCGTTTGAGCATGTATTGGAGGATTGACGTTCGATGCGTCGTTATACTTCTGACAGGCCAGAGAAAGGAGTGAGTCTCGAATATCACCCCGTGAAGGTGGCTGCGAGCTCGTTGACATGTATTGCGTCGTAGCGTCCTTGTCTGCGAAATGATCAGATCTTCGGAAGAGTGCCTCGAAGACGGCGATGGCAGAGTCTAATTTGGACCCCCTGAAATCCGCGTCTTCATCGTCGTGCTCGTCTTCTGGTGGAAATAGCCCGTCATGGAGATCCTGGAAGCAAAGCTCGAGCCACTTCTGCACGTCTTCTTAGGACAAGAATGAGATTCTAGCTAGATACCGGAACTTTGAGGGCTCTCCAGCCCAGTACCGATATTCTATTATACATGGTATGTAGCTCTATAGGAATGAATGCAGCGAGATCTAGCTCTATTCATCCTTCTACAGCCTCTACGGGAAGTGACTGGTCGTGCGTGCCAATATATCTTGTATAAGCGAGTGCAACGTTTTGCATGAAATCACTTCATTGAGAATTTCGCAAGGGGAGATGCTTCTATTCCTCATTAATGCAAGGAGAGTAGATGCATAACCTTTAATATCACTGATATTGCCATAGCGTGAAACCAATGTAACAGTAGAGCCGTGTAACCGTGCTGGAAGGATGCATATCGCTAACAGCTCATAATCATTGACTGTTACTATTCCACACCGTGGAGAATGAGAAATCATGATTCAGAAATTCTCACACTGCTGAGCGGGCAAGCCGCAAATGCCACTTGGTTGTTCCCCATGTACTTGCAAAACCCATTATACATGACGCATGAGACTTTCGCAAATTTCTCGTCCGTAGGGTCGTCCGGCATAAGATCCGGGACCAAGCCAACGGGAACCTTGGACTTGGCATCTACGAGATACAGATCCTTGCCAAAAGCTGTCTGGTCTGAAGAAGGGAGGTGTTGACCAACACATAACATGGAATCAGGTTCTTGCCTTTGGTGCTTTGGCTGACGTGCGTGTTTTGCTAGCAGCCCGGCTGAAAGAAGGAATTTACCGTGGTGAATGTACACAGGGACAAAGAGCTTGTTCACCCATGCTGCGGCTGATAACGGAACGCGACAATTGACCATGGCAGCAAGAAGAAGCATAGTTCGTAGCAAAGGCTTTGACCACAAACCTTGCATCTGTTGCTTGAAAGTGGCCCAATCACCCTTCTGCGCAGCGTCAATGTGGTGCGGATCGTGTGCGCACCATATGTTGTCTAATATCTTCCTCGCTTGCACAAACAATGGGTCAACATTGTCAGTTTCATCCTTACGTGCCTCTTGCTCAGTCTCGTCAAGACTGCGAAAGTCTGGTAAAAGATCGTCTTCCTCGTATTCTAGGCCAGGGCCGATCCTAACCAAACTGTAATCGTTGTACTCGAACACTCGAATTGCATACTCTGGATCAGTGGGTAACCAACCACAAAGTTGAGCGTCTAGGGGATCAAGGTTCCAGCGGGTGCTTGGATAGTTTCCATATTTGGAAAGCTCACCGCCCCGATGAGACTCTTGCCATTGTCCTTGAAAGTTTTTGAGACAGGCCTCCAGCAAAGCAATAACGAAGTCTGGGGAATCTTCGCACTCAAATTCTTCAATGTGCACAACCGATGTGACATGTACATGCTGTGAAGAGACTTTCGACTTTTCGGGTACGCGCTGTCCGACAAGCTTCAGGAAGTCACCAAGCGTCGTTGGACTGGGAAGATGTTGACTTGGTAGCCAGCCACTAACGGGATCTGTACATGTAGCATCAATCATTGAACGTGTGAACCTGCACGTAAAAGCATGCCCAGAGCGTGCAGCTTGCTGGTAGAGATCCAAATAGATATCCCCAAAGGACATTGTTAGAGCCTCTTTGCTCGGGTACGTGTACCACGGAAATGAAGGCATTGTCGCAAAGATATAGTCTCGGGGCATGGTGGCGGACCTATGGGATGCTCGATTGACCTTTAGAAAAGAACCGGTGTGGATGTCTTCTTCCTGACTACGCTGTGCGCTACGAGGGTTGACGACGGTGCCGCCATGAACGTATGCCTTGAAGAAATCATTCATGGCGGGAATGCCCTGAGAGCCGGAGAATGAATAAGCTAGAACCCAGAGAGCATCCGCGAGAATCAGTCGTTCCGCCCGATGTCGGTATATGTCGTTGTCGCCTGTAGTCTGAGCCCGCACCGCAGGCGTCTTCGGCTGATCTGAGTACTAGTCAATCACGAATATCAACCTTGGAAGCCAAAAACTGTGACATACTGTTTGTTCCAACTACAAACTCTATGGTATGGGAGAGTAGGCACTCTTGCAGCGTCCACAGTCTTTGTAGATAAGACTCTGCGCAGATGGAGTCAAAGTGCTCATCGTCGTGAGCATGGAACTTTTGGCGGAATTCGGCCGTACTCTCGAAACCATTGACAGCAGCAATGCAGCAGTCATACAGCCCATCACATTCCCTGACTGCAATAGTTTTCTTAGCCATTCTGAAGATCGTAGGGATCTTGTCCACAATTTCGGAGACTTCAGCTGGATTTCGCTGATCGACAGTTAACGTATCCATCCAAAAGGCATCGTCGCCAACCAGAGCCGGTAGGTCATTTGCGATGAAATGAGCTTTCTCTTCCGATGCTTTGATCTCGTACGGTATACCATCAGTCGAACGCCAGGCCCAGTTGCCCCAGACATGGGAGAAAGCGATGTAATCTGTGGATTCGATGGGCGCCTCGAAGAGCTCTAATGTAGCGTTCTTGAAGCGTGCGAATTTGATCGAAGGAGCCATGATACAGAACCAGGACTAAGTACGAAAAGTGGAAGCGCAAACTATCGCACAGAATTCGGGGGGCACCGGGGGTTTAATTTGTGGTGCCAGGCAGCAAGGCTGAGCTGGCCGCTTCAGCCCCCTCCCTTCATGTTTGCGGCTGAACTTTACGCGAGCGCCTAGCTTTCGTCGCTCAATAACAGAAACAACACGGAAAGTCACAGCGGTACTCGTGCTTATGTTTCCGACGATCCTGCCCAGTCACAGCTCGTGTAGCCTTATCTTTACATCATGATTTCGTTGCCTGAAGCCAACAGAGATGACCCAGTATTTCCATCACAATCTTCCTTTCGTGTTTACCGAACGTAGATCTATATATAGCTGCTTTGCTAGCAAGTCCCTTGAGTGACATCGCAATGGGTGGGAAGTGTCGTCCATATTCTGCGACACTGGCGGTAAGTGCTACTTCATCATCGATGATGTCCTGTTGTTGTGGTAAGACCATATAATTAGGATGGACTTCAGCGACAATCTTTCAGGCACAACTAATGAAGCCAAAATGGTATATTTCACGCGAGACTGGAGACCAGAAGGGCAGTAGGTTGCGAGCTACTCGGTGTAGGATCCTCGTAAATGGATTGAGTAGAGGGGCCTGAATACAACTCATACAAATGTGGACATGATAGTGTTCCCTAGGATGACTGACTCAGCACGGAGACTTAACTGAACATAGGGTGTGGAAGCCCTCTACTCGGGCTTAGCCCAAATGAAGATGATGAAGCCTTGATCCATCAGCCGGTGCGCATTCTCAAGACAAAGGCATATTAGTCGCCACATCTCCATCACACAGAGAAATGCAAAATGAGTCTCTGGCATCTCGCGCAGTGTCCTTCCCTTATGATTCCTGGAAGGAAGTACGCATAGATGTGCCTTAGGCAAGTACTGGGTTGCGGTGGGTTGCGGCGGATGTATGTATTGAGACCGCGGAAGAAGCGCTGGCGACGGCGAAGTTTGGAAAGACGAATGAGGAGAGTACGGGTCTATATCTGGGTTACCGAGTTAGCAAAAGACTCACATACAGTTTATGTAGGGACGCTTACGAAACTGCGCAGCTTGCAGTTGCGGTTGCGACGACTTTGGCGTCTTCCATGGCATAGCTTGCGACTGCGACGACACCATCGCCTCCGTCTCATCCTACCGAACCTTCAACACATCCTTCTAACCTACCGGTCTATCTGGATGATCACTCTTGATCAGCCAGTCGAAGAAGTCCACAGGCATTTCACCGACCGTCTTGCCACAGTGCTCCCTGACCGTTGTGCGATATGGTTCTGACGACGACGACAAGGGTTCAAATAAGTCTTGTGCCGCTTGAGGATTCTATTGAAAACTTGAAGCGCTTGCATTGGCGGTTTCGAACACGATAGCGAACTTGCAGCGATGTTCGCGTTGAGCGATTGGAGAGCTGTTCGGGCAACGGCAGCAGCAGACGACGGCAGCCGTGTAAACGCTTCTCGCTGCTAAGACGAGCTGTATTTGCTGAAGCATGTTCACATGAAATCTCTCGTTCCGTAGTGGGGGCGCAGCAGGAGATCGACTCCTCTCTTTCAGAGCACGTCGCGGTGTCGCAGATGCATCTGGCACTTGGTTGGAAGACAGGGGAGCTTGTTGTGGGAACGTAACTGATCTACGACATTATCAACATCAAAACGGAGGTCCAATCCTTAATCGGACGGCATTGTACTCATGCAGCAACTGCATTTTGGAAGATTGACTCCAACAGATGGGTGGATGAATTGTATGTAGATAAAGGAGAGATGACGTGTGGTGCAGCTTGCAGCGAACATGTGGAGATGGCTGGGACTGGTGCTGGTGCGGAAAGTGCACAGACACACACTCTTCAATTAGATGTGGCGCATTCCCGAGGTTTAGCACGCCAGGTCAGGTACGATTTTCAGGAACAGAAAAAAAAAGAATACTTCAACTTGCCCACATCAAAATGAATATTGTTGAATTGTCAAAGTTCCCGAGGTCCCGTAAATACCCGAAGACGCCCAGCGCCGTTTCCTTCCCTCTCATTCTCAATATCTCTGCTCACTTGGTCCCCCCTAGGGAACCGGAACCTTTTCCGTCTTGCTGATTATGTACCAAGCGTGGATAACACCAGGGATCCAACCGAGAATACACAATGCGATGTTGATGAAGAGATCAGCGGTGCAACCGCGCTTTATCGCGACAGGTAGGAAGGGAATCCATATCGCGAGGAAGTAGAGGAGGATAGTGCTCTGGCGTGGAAATTAGGAGAAAAGACTAGAGAGGTTAAAGAAAATGTGACTGACTGTGCTTGATGCCATTGTGCGAGCAGTGATGGGATCCGTATCGGTGAACTAGGCTGTAGTGATTTTGTAAAAAATGAGTCTGGTTGGTAGTGGTGAAGTTCGAGGTTGTGGCTGTTGACTGTGGCTGAACCAGAAAAAGTGGATGGGGCTCTCCGCGCTTTATGTGTTCCCTTCCAAGATCACTTTGCAGTAGCTGACGACGCCAGAAACCAGATGAATGGCTCACGCTATGTTCCCGGTACGTTCATTCGACGAGAAGCGCCGTAGTAGCCGCGAACCGAAGACCCCATCACCAAAGGGAAGATAATGCACGTGGGAAATTGCTAAGAACAGCAGCAAATGGAAACGCCTTGCGCCACAGTGACGATGTTTGTTGTGGCGCAGGTATCAGTGTACAGGCCGTGCGCTGTGGTGTTGAGGCTGTACTGGCCGACGAGGTCCCGAGAGTTGCCGTGATAGCCGGATATGCAGGGCAGCCGATGGCTGCTTGAACTGTGATGTCGCGTCATCAAAAAGTCTAGTATCTTATACTATAGCGCTGGTTGTAAGGTTTAATCTCACAGAGTATTTTGACTTTACGTGATATGAGTCTGCTAATCAGGCGACTTTTGATATTACTACTATGTCTACAAATTTGATTTTTGCTACAACGCGAGCTTCTGTGGTCCAGCTAGACTAAGGGACTGACTTGTCGAATACCGTGAGTCATGCGCCTACTTTCGGCTTCATTGATGCCAAATTACTGCGACAACAGCATAGGTTCATAGCACGAGAGCGGAAGTGGGACTGCAGACGACTTCTTTGTCACGAGATCGTTCTACATGCGCACTTGCAGAGGCGCAGTGACTAGGAATAGATGACTTGATTCCAGAGAGCAGTCATCACAATCAAGTCCGTGGCGGGACCATGGCGGTAAGACTGAGACGAGGTGTCGGTATAGTGGAACTTGTCAAGGGCGGCATGGGCGGTAAGGAGGGTTGTACTGTGTACGTTGCCGAAGCATAACATGGGCCTTGCGGTGAGTGTAAGGCAGCAACTGTCAAGTTGTCAGACGGCGAGATAGAAACCAATGGCGGGATGACGTATAAGACAGACGGAGGCTGACAGGGGTTGACGGTGAGGCTCTGTTATGACTGACAAGGATGAACGCTGGCGGATGGACGACTCGAAACTAGAAATACATGATGAGCGGTGAGGAGCGGTGACAAATTTTATATGCAATTGAACAATCGAGCAGGGATATATCGGCTTCGAATTGATCTATTCTGATCGACAGCCGCGCCTTACAAGCCAAGGTCGCCGGGGAAATTTTGAACTATCCTAGGTGCTGCGACAAAGTCGGTGTTGAGGTAGAAGGGGTCTTTGGTGAAGGGGAGAAACTAATGGGGTGAGCGGGATGGGGGTGTGTGTGGAACGCTAAAAATGCTGATACTGGCAAAGAACATCGTGTGAAGACGAATCGAAGGAGATGGGCTATATAGTAATAACATAAGACATTCGGCATCATACGTGTCGCATTATCATGAGAAGGGCAGAGACAAACTGTTGAAAAGTGGAAAAAAGAAACCAAGAATCATGACAGAATAACAAACTAGCGTCCCTACGACTGGGGTAGCGCTTTACCGTCTTTCACCATCCGCTTCCGAAAGGCCTTGGCCCTACTCGCTTCGTTCTTACTCGCTTGTGCATCCAGATGGCTGGCGGCAGTGAATGCTTCTACCACTGCCATGGCGCTTGCCTCTTCTTCTTCGTTGAAGGTGATGAGATCGAGGAATTGGCGTAGGACAATGGACCCGAGCTTGGCCTTTGCTTGCTCAACGTAGTCGGTGTTGACGGTCTCGGCAGATGTCCGCGCAAGCACGCTCCATCCATCGGGCTTGAGTGATGCTTGTCGTGCCAGCAATCGCTCGCTGGAGGCTAGGAGGATGAACGCTCTTATTACCGCTTCTTTGTTGGTGATGTTCTGCTCGGGCGACACGTCGAGAACCTCTAGGAAGTCGTCTAGGGATGCTGTGCCGATGAATGTGTGGCGGTGCTTGTACTCCAAATCACGCTCTTGCTGGATGGCCGATGTCGGTCCGCTCTTCTTTGGTAGCTTCTTGGGTGTTGATGGATGGAGGGAGCGGGTGGTCGGGCTGTGATGGCGAGGGTTCTCGTTCTGTGCGGTGGCGGCTTTGATGGGGAGGCCGAGGGAGATTCTGCGTTGGTGGGTGTTGGCGGGGCGCTGTGGCTTTGATGTGTTGGCTTGTAATTGCAGAAGACCGTCGTTGGTCTTGGCGCGGAGCGGAAGTGTTCGCGATGCCCTTTGCGCACTGGCGAGTCTTGATTCTATGGTTGGTGTTGAGGGTGTGCGCAGGTGAGAGGGGCGGCGCTTTGTGATGACGGTTTCTTCGCCCTCGCTCTTGATGGATGGCGACTTGGCGAGGTCATCGTAGGAGAAGTAGTCGGGTGACGGACCGTCTTCCTTTATTCGATCCAGCGAGTAAAGGAGAGGTTCTTCGAAGAGGGTTGCGTCTGTGGACAGGCCGAGGGCGTCGGCAGGGTCAATGGCTCGTGTGCGTGGGCTGGCGCGGGGACTGGCAAACTTGAGGCCGTTGACATCCGGCGGCATGACCCAGTGCTGGACGCCCTGCTGCTGGCGCATCTCTTGCTTGAGCTTGCCCTCGAGGGCGCTCTCGGTGTCGCTGGCAATTGAGAAGCGGCGGGAAGGTGATCGTGATGGCGAGCCTGGGTGCTCTTTGGTGTCATACCCCGCATTCCTGAGGGCGTTGAGTATGGAGCTGTCCCCACGGTCGAGGTAGAGTAGGCCTGTTCTCCACATGGTCGATGTCGTCGATGAGGGTTCCTGCTGTGTACGAGTAGCCGACGCAACAGTCACCCTCTAAAGTCTTGTCGGACACGGACAGGGAGGCGCGATGTGCCGCTGCTCTAGCTTTAGTACTTGTTGACAGTATGCGGGTGATCGAGGTGGCCGGCGCTAGCACCCGCTACACCGCCATTTTTCTCAATCTGGTCGTCCCGGTTGAAAAGTCTGTCATTGCCGTGCCTCTTGACTAGACTGGGCCTAATGTATGCATCACGATGCAACACGTCTTTTTTCACGTCATATCGCCCAATCACCGTTGTACCATGGTGACAATTGTGGGTGGTGATTTGCTGTAAACTCCCAAACATTCCTACACCCTGTACCTGCATCCGATCAGCAGGTTTGAGTGTAGCGTACGTACCCCCCTCGTGTCCCGTATCATCCCGGCAGCGGACGAAAGCAGCTACCATCTTGTCTTGCACGCCTGGCGTGATCGAGAATCATTTTTGGCCGGCATGACGTGGAAGTGGATTCCCGCGGGTTAAGACAGCGAGGGCTCCACTCCCGCAAGGCTGAAGGTCTCCAGAGCGTGGTGTGGTGGTGACAGCCGCGGGTGGCATGCACTGAGATGGGGTTGTGCCAGCGCAATGGCTATTGTCGGCCGTCGGAGTGTGTTCGGACGTGTTGGGTTCAACAAAGATGGCGGGGCGGGGTAACCGCGCGACACTAACAGCCATGTTTGATCAACATTTTGCTGTTTCAAGGCGGATATCGGAGCGGAGGAGATAAGCTTGGCGTGGGACGTCGCGGACGTGGAAGACGAGCGAAGTCAGCAGAAGGGTGGTTGGGTCACGCGTGCAGGCAGTCAGCGATGAGGGTGTAGTCGTCAGGCATGTGATATGCCCAGGTGTGATGTGAAGATATCAACCAACCCACGCACACATGCACATATCGATAGCACATGGGCAGCGCATCCGACCTGCGGAACCAGACTTTGCAGCGTACCGTATGGTAGTCTCTCCCAAGATCTGTTGGTGGTTACCTGTTGATGTGGAGTCCAATCAAGATTGGCGGGCCTCGCGCGATAAGACGACGCAACACCACAGCAAGAACCCACACAAGACTGTTCTCTGCCCCTGCCTAGTGTTCCTAACAATAAATAAACTTGATCTCACAAGACTCGACCCCGCAGTGACACAGTATCGGTTCGCTCGCATCTGGCCAGCAGTTCGACACCCTGGCATTTCCAGAGATGAGGGTGCTGACAGCTGGAGCTCTGCCTGCACTATGCACTGCACGCTGCACCAGCGATCAAAACACACGTCCATGCCCGCTCGCCAATGCAAGAACAACCCACTCTGCAATACCGAAAACCCACTCTCGTCGACGTCCTCGAATCGCATGCTGACGCGTGCCATGCGTGGAGCTCACTTGGCCCTACGTGGAATCACGTTTGGTGACAGATTCACCGCTCGGCCGTGCTAGAGACGAAAAGAGGAGCCGAGTCTGTTTTGGCACGCGTGACGTGTTGTTTGGGCGCGTCGAATGGGCAACAGCTTCACTTTCTTTTCCACCTCGTCGCAGCCACAACAACACATAAGCATCAGCGGTCGCAGGTAAAGACATCGGGAGAGCATCCGGGTCAACTGGCTTCGATTGCATCGTCGTTCCCCTGGCTTGGGAGGGCGTTGGTGGCAGCGTGGTAGCCATGCAGCATCAACGGCCCGCACCCGCTAGCGAGCCATGTTCTCTTGGCGTAAACAAACCCGGACCGCCGAGGAGCCACCTCCGCAGCAGAATTATTATGAGGTTGTTGGCGTCCTAGATACTTTGCAACCGTGTTCACAAACTCAATTGCCCTTTGCACAAAGCAAAAATTGATCAGCATCTTACCCCACCTACACCGCCCCGCTGCAGTTCGCTTCCATCTCGAGTCAGTGGAGCTGATGTTTTCTTGCACTGCCTCGCCCTTTCCGACCGCCCAAGACCGCCGCCGATAGTAATTTCAACCTCACAATCTCCCCAAGCAGCGATTCCCATAGCACCCACTCTCGTCGCCCTCGTGGGCATACACAACCATGGACGACGGTCCTCCTCCTCCGCCGCCTCCGCATGGCGCCAATCCAAAGACCACAGAAGGTAGCCATGCACCTCCTCCCGGCCCAAGCGGCGGCCTGCCACCAGGCAACTATGACATCTTCATCATCCCGCCGCACTCTTCAGGGGGGGGCTTCATATATCTCCCTAGCATGGGCGTCCAGCAGAACAGCTTCATCGCGGGCGTGCTCAGCACCATCGCGAGCATCCTGCTGTGGAAGGCTGCCGAGCCCCACGTCAAACAATATTTCCTCATAGTCCGACATGGAGTGTCGACCGGTGGCAATGGCGTCATACTGCTGGCCGTCTTGATGCTGTTTGCCGGATGGGCGGTTGGCCAGACACAAGCTGGTGGCCGTTTTAGCAGTGGTGGAGGGGGCTACAATGGTCGCGGCGGAGCTGGTGCCGGCGCTGGAGCAGGTGCAAACACACCAGGTGGAAGCTCAAGCTATCAACGTGCACCTCCGCCGCCGCCTCCGAATGGCGGCTTCCCCGGTAGTCCTCCACCTCACGGTGGATGGAGTGGATATCGCCAATACGCTGGCTCACCGCCGCCACCACAAGACGACGAGTCTTTTTTTGACGAAGAGGCTGAGCGAGCCGAGCAAGAACGCAAAGAGGCCGAGGAGAAGGAGAAGAGGCGGAAAGAAAAGGAGGAGCAGCAACGGAAAGAGGATGAAGAACGCAAGCGGAAGGAGGATGAAGAGCGCAAACGGAAGGAGGAAGAGGAAGAACGCAGGCAAGCCGAAGAAGCCAAGAAGAAGCAGGAAGAGGAAGAAGCCGAGCGTAAGCGGGCTGAGAAAGCAGCGAAGAAGAAGAAGCAGCAGCAAGAGGAGGAGCATAAGAGGAAACAAGAAGAAGAACACAAGAGGATGCTTGAGGAGGAAGTACAAAGGAAGCTGAAGGAAGAGCTCAAGAAGGCCAAGGAGGCTGAGGAGGCAAAGCGAAGACAAGAAGAAGAGGAACGCAAGCGTGCCGAGGAGGCCCAACGGCAAGCCGAAGAAGCTCAAAGGCAGGCTGAAGAAGAAGCCAGACGAAAGCGTGAAGCTGAAGAGCAAAGGCTAGCCGAAGAGGCCAGGAAGCAGCGCGAGGCAGAAGAAGCGCGACTTGCCGAGGAGGAGAGGAAACGACAAGAAGAAGCTGAGCGACAACGTATCGCAGAAGAGGAACGCAAGGCCGAAGAGGAGCGCAGACTGGCGGAAGAGGCTCGACTGCGAGCTATCGAGGAGAAGAAGAAGAAAGACGAGGAAGACCGCAGACGAGCATGGGAAGAACTCAAGCGCGCAGAAGAAGCCCGCCAAAAGAAGGAGGCAGAAGAGAAGGCCAAAGCAGAGGCTGCTAAGGCTGCCAAAGCCAAAGCCGAAAAGGAGAAGTGGGAGCAGATGCGGAAGCGTGAGCGCGAGCAACGCGAACGCGAAGCACGAGAGCGCCTTGCCAAAGAGAAAGCTCGCAAAGAACAAGAAGCTATCGAAAAGGAGAAGGCAGAGCGAGAGGCTCGTGAAGCTGAAGTCCGCGCAGCCGTCGAGAAAGAGATACGCGAGAAGCTCGAAGCCGAGGCAAGAGCCAAAGCCGCCGAAGAAGCTGCAAAGAAGGCTGAACAAGAGAAGATTGCCGCCGAGGAGGCTGCCGCCAAAGCAAAGGCTGAAGCTGAAGCTGCTCTTGCAAAAGCCAAAACAGATGCCGAGCGTGCTGAACGACTCAAGGCAGCCCGTGAGCGTGCCCAGAAAGATCGTGAAGCCCGTGAAGCCAAACTCAAAGCAGAGGCAGAACGCATCAAGGCCGAAGCTGCTGCTGCTGCTGCCACAGCAGCCGTCCCAGACCTCACAGCTCGACGATCAACCACTTATGGCAACGTCGGTGGCGGTGAACGCCTCGATCCATATGCGGGTGCCAGAGCTACGCCCCCTCCGCCCGCCGCTTCAGTCACATCGACGCACTCTTCCCCCATCAAAGCGACCGTCACACCCAAGAAACCATATGAACGTCCCTCGGCGAAGACATACCAGCCAAGTGAAAGCGATGCTGCGTCCTTTGCCCCACCGCGTACTTCCACCGCGCCTCCTCGCTCCACAGCAACACGCTCGCATGTCTCTTCCGCATACTCCGAGTCGAGTTATGCGCCCAGTCAGATGTCGCAATCTACCACTCGCACATCACCTCCTGCGTCGAGGTCAGGGCCGTATTCCACGGCGGACCCGAACAAGATTGTCATCAAGGCGGTGTATCTCTTCAACGACTTGTTTCCTAAACCTGTCGCCCAACTCGTTTCCAACGTGGGCAAGGTAACAGACGGACTCATCCTCAAAATACAATCTGAAGGTCTGTTTATCGACGACGACGTGAGAGGTATCCCTCAAAGAGAATGGGATGTCAAGGCTTGGACGCTCAAAATGGTCGAGGTATGTCACGTCCCCACTCTCTTTTTATCGTTTCTCATTCAATGTTGTTGTACTAACAAGTTACTTCTATACAGACTGGTAAACAGCCCGCGAAAAATCTACACATTCTCCGTGCCTCGGTGCGTGATGCAGATGGCAAGAAATACGTCTTCCTTATCGATGAAACAGAGAGCTGGAAACTGGCTCTTGGACTCCAGAGATTGAGGAAGGGTAGTCAGGTCAGGAGTTTGCAGAGTGCACAGATGGCGCCAAATGAGATGGCGAGGGTGTTGAATGCTGTGCCGCCTATTGCGCTATAAAGGGGAGGTGAATGTCGATAAGATGGTGAGTGGTGGATATCGGATACCCTTCGCTTGAGACATTTTTATGCTGTCTTTTGTATAAGCATCAGCGGTGGAGTTGTTTATTCATTCATTTATATATAGGGTTTGATCGTGTTGGTGTATATGAATCCGGTGTGGGATGAGATGTCGTATATATGAAACATGGGCGCTACATAGGTTGGTGTTCTGGGTGTAGATAGGAAGCATCGGCAATTGCATATCACATGTCATATTCTTGAAGTGTTTGCTTAGTGAATTCCTTAATGCTCTATTGCATTCGTACATTGTGATAAAAGTGCTATCAAGCTGATGGCAGTCATGAAGCAATCGCAATCAAACCAAGTTTTGCTTTCTTGCTCGAAGCCTCAGCATATTACTGATGACTTTCTGTATCGTTTCTACGTTCACTATGTGCGCAAACGGATAACGATCCGAAAGAGTCAGATTCAGCCTCTTTATGAAAATCGCACTATGTTGCTTAGCATTCATGTCCAACGCAACGTCGCCGGAAGTTGATGGTAGTAGGATTGTGCGGTAGTGAATTGATTACCTAGCGATCCTAAGTCCTCAGCTTGATGGACAGATATCCTTCTTTCTGGTAGCACTTGCGAATCATAACAGGCTGGACAGTGGGACCAGTTTGGCAGCCAAGCGAGGTGTAAACGTTGACTATTTTAATGTCAGCCTTCTCTGACCACAACACTTCAACTCAACCCTCTTGCTCATCCTCATAACACGGAACCTGAGGCAAGACCGTGAACTCGCAACAGCAAAGTATGTGGGATCGAGGGACTCACGAGAATCATACTTGACAGGCCCGTCATGGCCAACAACCCTCAAGCCCTTGACGTCAGCATTGAAATTAATGCAGACATTAGCGTCAAGCCAGAGGAACGTGTAAGCACCCTGACAGAGGTCTTCGGTGAACGTTTGGACGCGGACCTGCCAAAAGGTGTTGGGGTTAGGGTTGACATCGCGGTTGATGTTGGTATTGGCAATATCGACGGTGGTTGAAATGGTAGGGGAAGTAGGCATGGCAGCGCCAAAGGCTGCGACAATGCCGACGAAGGCCAGAATCACTGTGAGCATGCTTGTTTGAGCTTAAAGGATGGTGAAAGAAGAAAGCGTGAGGTTGGTCCGTGGTAGCTGGTTCGAGGGAGTGAGCGAATGTCTCCGGTTGTGGAGAAAAAGAAGTGAGAGGCTGCGTTAGGTGGAAAGAAGAGGCTACAGTAACTCGAATCCGAAGCTAATTGTACACAGCAAACGAATGGAATTTGCAAGGTGCGTGCTTGTCCGACGCAAACACGACGAACTGACGTCTACGTAAGCGAGGCTGAGGCAATCGCGGTCTAATTCTGCTGGTTGCGAACCTTGAGGAGAGCCTGAATCCCCAGAAGGCTGACCCGATGTGATTGCTGTACTCGCGGGAAGGTGCGGCTGGGGTGACAACAACGTCAAGCAATGTGTGCCACTAGCGTAATGACAAATGGATGCTGAAGTGTATGAATCACATCAAAAACGCATTTTCAGACGGCCGCGGTGAGTCAGTGACGACTGTAACGGAGAGTCGGGTCAAGGCAACTGCGAAATTCTCGCTACTTACCAGTGGCCATTATCATAACTAAGTGAATGCTGCGCGTCAAAGTAACGACGCACTTGAGGACACTGATTGTCAAAACATTCACACGCCAAAATGTCTAATCAACGAACGATGTATACTGGAACCAATGCATCCGTGAAGTTGGGTAAGATGACAGGCCTCCAGCATTGCACTCCTTCAACGCCAGTTACCTGCTTATTCTACATACCACGCACTACCCTATTCATTGACTGGCTTTGCTCCCAACATCCAACCCAAACCAGACGCAAGCGCCCCGGTAGCAGCATTGGCCACCATGTCCCTCCTCCTGACCCTCTCACCTCCATCCATACTACCATTCTCACTCCCATCCATACTAACCCTTCCCGAGCCCGGTCCTGCAGATCCTGTAGAAGTTGCAGTTTGAGCACTACCCCTCAATGGAAATGCCGTCTTGGAAAACGCTGCAGCCGCCCCACGCGCTACGTCAAAGAGACCCATGGGTGCTTCTTCCACAGCGCCGCGACCGACTTCACGGCGCGGCTGTACGGTAATGGTGTCCATGTCGAAGGCGCCGGGGAGTTTGCGGTCGGCTGCGTCATTGAAGCGCTCTTCTGCTTCGGTTTCTTGTGCCAGGAGGTGCATCATCTCGGCTTCGCATTGTTGCCATACTCCTAGTACTTCTTCAAGGCGGTTGGGTGGGGCAAGCAACAGGGCTTGCGAGAGTAGCTCCATGCGCTGTTCTAATCTTCTCAAGTCTGGGCGTGCTGCATTACCAGCTTGTGACCAAGAGTTTGATGAAGCGAGAGACGTATCGTGTCGGCCGGCACGCAGAGCAGCCCGCCACGCGACATCTTCTGCCTCGTCTTCATGGTCTTCGGCATCTGCAGATCCGAATGAGAAGAAATTTGAAGACGTTGGTGGCGTTGGAGATGGGCTCGAAGGGGTTAGTCGGTTGACGACATATGAGTAAGCAGTCTCAAAGTCATCTTCTTCTAGTGCTGCTTCGATGGCCATTCCGGTCACTCGTCGCTCCGCGGCAGCTTTTTTCCGTTCAATCGATGTGGGATCCATCGGTATGCTCTCTGCTTCTTCTTCCATGATAGTCGACGGCATTGCAACTACTAGGTTCTGCCCAATAGAAACCAAGTCGTCTAGCTTGGTATAACTGCCGCTATTTTGTGATAGCAGCTTACGCACCAGCGACAGTGGATTAGGGCTCACTCGAATGTTGACTGGCTGAAAAGGTACACCATGCTGGAGTATGAGTGAATAGAATGACATGGCATGCGTCGCTGTAAGCAAGGCTTGAAATCGTCGGAACCGCGACGACGTGGAAAAGTGAGGGACAAATGCGTTGATGTTATCGGCGGCACGCTTCATGCCACCCCTGTTGCGGTTGCCGTTGCTCGCATTGTCGTAGTGGTGCATGGCTGATGCGAGTACGACCTGTTCGACATCGGACGAAAGAAGCGGCTGCTGCCCGAATGCTGGCTTCATGTAGAGGTCTATCGCGAGAGAGAAATGATTGCTCTCCAGAAGCGCTTTCAGTATCTCCGTTTCCAAAGCCTTCCGCTCTAGCAAACCAAAGATACCCTGTGCTTGGCGATCTTCGTCGTGGTTTTCAGTACCCCAGTTCCATAGCCACAACAACTTGGAACGAATAGTGGCCCACTGTTCGCTGTCTTTCTTGGAGCCGCTGTTCAGTGTGTGGAGTATCTTTTGTAGCAACGATAGTTGCTCCGAGTAGTCGTCGCGTAGTGACATTTTGGCAACCTCTCGAATGGATACTGGTTGCTGCAAAGCTGACAGAACACAAGAGGAGAAAATGATTAGCTCAAGGAGGCGGAATGCTTCAGCGCCAGGTTGTGTAATGACGTTATCTCTGTCCAACAAACGATCCTCCCTAAGTAGAGCAGTCGTCGAGTCTTGTAGCAGAGGATGTTTTAGGTCGTACGAGGGCAACTGCCCTACGCCGATACTAAGATCTGGAGGCGGCTCGTAGTTGAGGAGGGTACATATCCTCGACAAAAGCGAATGCGCCGTTTGCAGTGAGGCAACATCGCTCTTGTGGACCAGGTAGAGGCACGCCAGAGCTGTTCGTGCATATTTCATCTCCAATTGTCGCTGTTGGTCGTCATCGACAAAGTCTCGTCCTTCTTCATAGCCACCCAGGTCCATATCCTCTGGGCCGTCCCAGTCGGCGATGGCTGAAGCAACGAGTGGCAGATGGTCCTTTGAGGCATGTAGCAGCCACTGGAACAGACAATCCCAATCGTCTGGTTCGTGTGCTTGGTCCTGCGCAATTGACGCTCTCCGAGCTTCGCGTGTGATTCGCCGCCTCTTGCGATCGTTGGCTCCACATAGCCATGGGGCAACGACGCCCTTCAGGTCCCGTGCTGCATTATGTGTCTGGGCATGGTTTGCGTTTCGAACGTGTGAGAGTTGGTGATCGATAGCACGTCGTCCTTTGAGCGAGGCGAATTCTTCAAGCGTGGTAGCGGACGATTGCGGGTAGTATTCGTAGCTGAGGCGCAGAAGCGGAAGGACGGTGGATATGAACCATGTGCGTAGGTATTCGGAATGGCCCAGAAAGGGAACCACGAGCTGGGGGACGAGATCCAACAGGCCCGTCTGCGCGTCGATGCGGTGGGCGCGGTGTATGAGAAAGTGGCTGAACAAGTCGAGCTCGCCCTCGTCTGCGTAGAGGGGATGCACTACAGGCGGGAGATGCAGCGCGTGCCTTCTCTTCTTCGCCCGCGAATTGGAGAATTGTTCGATGGCGGATATGTCGAGGGATGCAGCAGGGGTTTCCCCGGGATACCGCGACCCAGTTGCCAGGTCATGCAGAAAGTCGTGATACGACGAGGGGTCGCTCTCTTCCGGGAGGTAGTTGAGGATGATGCTCAGGGTAAGCTCGAGCGGCAGATCGCCGTCTCGGAGTGCTGTCAGCGCCCGTAACGCTAGGATATTGGATTCGGTGGCATATTGTACGGCGAGGAGCACACAGTGTGGCTGCGACAGTTGCGACAACTTGTGCAGCGCTGCCATGTTGACGTTGACTTTGACTTGGAAAGGACACGCCCGCCTTGCGACAATTCGCTACGTCAACCGCCAAGCCCCACCCACTCTCGGGGGTCCGCTCCCATGTCACCTGCTCTCTTTTCCCTTTACTACTGCCACACAACGACCACAAAGCAGCAACTTCAGCGTCACAACTCTGGTACAAAGCTTGTTCAGCGTATGAATTCCGACCCATCTTAACCATATACAACAAAACACACGGTTCCACATGGAAGCTGACAAGCTGGGGGTCAGGACTCGTCCTTGGAATCGTATGCCTCATACTCAAAGCCATCTAGATTCATCTCAGCAGAAATATGCTCTTCCCTATGGT